TTGTTCAGTGATGCAGCAATTTATATTACTGATCGGTCATTAAAACCTCTGGCACAAAACCACTTGTGTTTCCTGAGCCAAGATAGTGTCCGTGTGTCAAATTTCAAACCCAGAGTATAAATTAAGCCATTAATGGTATTTATCAGTTTATCTGGACTTAAAGAACTACTTACTAATTTAAGACATTCCCGATACAGAAACTAGAGGATGCACCAGGCGTGCATGTGAGTGTGCACGTGCATGTGTGTTTTCCTACTTTTATTTTACTGAATGGTGTAAAAAAATTCTGATGTGTAAATGAACTACAGGCGTCTCAGGGAGCTGTTAATTCCTCACTGCTCTGCAACCCAAACGTTTTGGAAGCAGCAGTGTTTTGCAATATGTATTTGTCATAATATAAAAGGTGTAAAATGATCTCTGTTTATCTTCTCAAAGTCTTCGTTGTACCAAAACAGAAAACTGAAATGTGACAACGAAGCCTGAGCCCAGCCCAACCATAACTGTGGCCTCCTGAACACCAGCTTGAGCCCACTGGGATCTTGGGTGGAGGAGCCACATGAACCAGGACAGAAATCCAGGTTAAGTGGGGTCAGAAGGGTGAGAGGTGAAGATGCCATTCGCTTGGCTAGACTGCAACTGGAAATACTTTCTACTAAATTCATTTTTCAGCTTCAAGAATATCTATAAGATACCATAACCGCCCATCCTATGCAATGGCCCATGTTAGTTCTATTAACTCCCCACATGGCAGCCTTGGGCATGGAACTCCCAGACCGCATCTGATTCAGGGAAATTGTATCCTATCCCAAGAGGACGACGTGGGCATCAGGGTGTTGGGACTTCTTAGTTAAATGGGTCACAGAGATCCAGAAGAGCTCTGCCCAGGACAGGGATGTGAGCTAAATGATCTGCAAACAGGACCTCCCTGAACCACTCAATCCATGTACCCAGGGACAATAGTCAATCAATGTGCGGACAGCTGGGGAATAGTGAAAAGAGCGCTGAAGTTGGAGTTGGGTCAAGTTCCAGCTCTCTGCTTCCTGGTGGGTAGCACCTAGCCTTCATGTGCTCATCTGTTAAATGGGTATAATAGAGGAAAGTGTTTTATAAACTAAGGTAACAGAAACAAATGCCATTAGCATTACTTTTACTCTCCCAGGGTCTCCACCCCTTCTTCTCAGGGCTCTCTGCTTGCTCGCCTGTTGGCCCTCCAGCAGTACCTGGCACCCTACTTGGCTTTTCCCACTCCAAAGCTTTAGCACTATTTTCAGCATTCCCTATAATCAGGCCTCTGCCTTCCTCCTGGGTCCTATTTCCTAGAACCAAGACGGCACACGGATTTCAGATCATATTCTTTCACTGATAATTAGGGGAGCCTGAGGATCCCTGAGGGTTCAACAGGAAGTAGCACCAGGAGTGACAAAGGGGCTCTACCATGTTTCAGGAAGGGTTGTGGGTGTCACACAGGCCACCTCTCTGCCAACCCCAGACTGAGGGTGAGGCTGCTGCTGTACCTGTCCTCGGCACCAAGCACAAAGCAGGCCCCACTCTAGGAAATGTCTGATGCTCTTGGCGGCTGGGGAGCTTGCCCATAGCTCACACCTGGGCTGGAGGGGAGCCTTCCTCAAAGCATCCACCTTGGTCTCTTGTCCCTAAGGGGATCTATTTTCTCCATTCCTCACCCTTCCAAGAGCTCAGTTTACTCAATCTATATTGAGAAGCCACATGTGGCTTTTTGAGTATGAGCCACATTTTACCTCAGCACTAGCAGGAGGTACTAGGTAGCTGACCTCTCTCTGGGGAAGCCCCATCCACAAGGTCTTGGTGAAAGACAAAGGACCCAGACTACCATCCTCAGATCCCCAGCTTTCTTCAGGAACAGGGAGTGTGCCCGTGTTGGTCACCGCCCTATCCCCAGCATATGCCGGGCACATATGAGGGGCTTCATACCTCCCAGATGCTCCCCCCTCAGGGATTCAGCTTCCTCCCCAGCCCCAGGATGAGAGGGCAGCTTGCTCCCTGTGGCAGCAAGTTTAATCTGGATGGACTGAATTAAGCTGCTTGCAAAGCTGGCTCATAGGCTCAGTCTCCTTAGCCCCCAGATTAGAATTCTCAGAGTGGGATTCTCGGTTACATGTGGTCAGGCAATAAGAAACTGGTGGGGACTCTGGGAGACCTGGTCCTCTCCTGGTTTTCATGACAACAAGATCCGGAACCCTGGGCAAGATAACCTGCCTCTGCCTGTGGCCACTTCTCAACAGACAAGCCAGAGGGATCTTTCAAACAAATAAATCCAGTCATGATATTCTCCCACTTAAAACCCCACAATGAACTATTTTGCCCCTTCTCTATAAATGTTTGTGTGTGTGCATGTGTATGCATATATATATATTTAAATAATTAAAAGATAATATAAATACTCATACACACACACACACACATATGAGAGATGGCATGTTTGATGCCAGTGACTGTTCCTGACACACAGCAGAGTTCACTTTTATTTACATACACACACACACACACACAAGCAGTTTTACTGAGATATACATACCACACAATATACAATTCACTCTTTTTAAAGTATACAGTTTAGTGGATTTTAATATATTCAGAGTTGAGCAACCATCACCACAATCAATTTCAGAACATTTCCATCACTCCACAAAGAAACCCCATATCCATCTGCAGTCACCCCCATTTCCCACCAACTTCCCCAGCCCCTGCCACCTACTAATCTACTGTCTCTCTCTACAGATTTGCCTGTTCTATACATTTCATAGAAATGGAATCGTATTGCATGTGGCCTTTTGTATCTGGTTTCTTTCACTGAGTATGTTAAGGTTCATCCACGTTGTAGTATGTATCAGGACTTCATTTCTTTTTATGGCTGAGTACTATTCCATGGCATAGAAATATAACAGTTTATTTATTCATTTATCAGTAGATGAGCATTGGGTTGTTTCCGTATTTTGGCTATGATGAATAATGCTTCTATAAACATTCATATACAAGTTTTTGTGTGGATGTACATTTTCATTTCTCTTGGGTATAAACCTAGAAGAAGAATTACCGTGCCATATAACTCTATGTATAATCTTTGGAGGAACTGCCAGACTGTTTTCCAAAGTGGCTGCACCATTTGACATTCCCACCAGTAGTGTATGAGGATTCTGATTTTTCCACACCCTCGAGAACACTTGTCACTATCTGTATTTTTTATTGTAGCCACATCTCAGTGGGTGGTGAAGTGGTGTGTCATTGTGGTTTTGATTTGCATCTCCCTGATGGCTAATGGTGTCGAGCATCTTTCCATGGCTATTTGTCTGTCTTTGGAGATATGTCTGTTCAGATCCTTTGCCCATTCTTTGATTATTTATACTTTTATTTGTGAGTCTAAGAGTTCTTTTTATTTTCTAGTTATAAGTTCCTCATCAGATATATAATTTCCAAATGTTTTCTCTCCCTCCCACGGACTCTTAGCACATGCAGTGAAAAATGCAGATTCCTTGCTAGGGCTGAGAGACCCACCTGGTTTCTGCTCCCATCTCCCACTGCTCTCTGCACTTCGCTCCCTGCTCTCTGGCCACACTGTTCTTCATGCTGCTCCTGGAACCTGTCAGGCTCCACCCGGGCTCAGGGCTTCTGCAAGTTCCCTCTGTCCAGACATTCCTCCCAGACACCTTCCAGCGGCTCCCTCCCTCCCTTTAGGACTCTGCTCAGATGTCACCTTCTCAACAAGGCCTTCTTCCCTGAGTGTTGTATCCAAAATATCACTTTCTCCCTATCCTTCTCTACCCCTTATCTGGCTTCATTTTTTCTCAAAAACACTTACTATAACCTGACATTACATCATCTACTTAGTTGCTGATCCTGTTTCCCAGGTAGAATCTCAGTTCCCGGAGGGGAAGGAAGTGTTGTCTGTCTTGTACGTTACTGTATCTTAAACACCCAAACAGTGCTGGGCACATGGTAGGAATTCAACAAATATTTACCAAATTAAATACATCTACTACTATTTATTGATTGCTTACTATGAGCCCAACACTCTGTGAAGCATTTCAAATAAAATATCTTAGTTAATCCACACAACAACCCTATGCTGAGGTAGACACTATTATTACTCTACTTTTCTAACAGATGAAGAAATCCAAATTAATAGTTTAAGTAATTTATCCACAGACCCACAGATAGGAAGGCAGAGTCAGGATAATCCAGGCAGTCTAAGCTCTGAACGACAAAGCTCTACCCACACCTGTCCCCACTGTTGACTTCAGCGAGTCACATTCCCTCCTTTGAGCCTCAGTTTCCTCATCTGTGACATGGCAGTTGTCTCCTACCTTACAAGGGTACTGAAAGATTGGCCCAGTGGGATCACATAAGGCACTGAGTACAGCACCTGGCACAGGGAAAGTATTCAATAAGTGTGAACGGCTGTGATGATGATGACAACGACAATTATATGATGAGATGACGCTGAGAAATCAGTGCTTTGAAATCGGACACAGCCATATCATTGTTAGTTAATATTGTTCAAATGCATCCTTGTGTAGAGATTTCTTTAGACAATGCCTCAACTCCTGCAGAAGGTGACCAGCCCGTTGTGGCCACACAAAGATTTCAGAGTTTCATCAGATGGGGTGCAAAAGGTTTCCTGACCAAAACAAGAAGCTTAGATAACATCACAGACTTTCTAAGGCCTTGACAGAAGCGTACAAGACATCTCCTGAAGATGGGATCTCAGCGGCCTGTTAGAGACAGAGATGTTGGCCTAATCCAGGACAGCTGTTCTTGCAGGGCAACATCACACTTGTAAATTCCTGCCCAGCCAGCCCACAGGGAAGAGGAGCCACACAAGGCAGAAACCCATCCCTATGCACAGCTCCCCAGGAGATGACTGGACATCACGTTTGCTAAAAAGAGGGTGCCACCAAGATAGTTCATATCCATGTGCTGTCACACTGTGGAAAACCTGGAGGATGGGATCAAGGTCAACTCACCAGTATGGGTCTGCCTGTGCGTCTCCAGGGCATCTTCCTTTGAAAACTGGGCACCGCACTGATCACAGACGAAGGCTTTGGCACCCGCTGTAAGGAAGGAGAGACAGTTACCACTAGAGCAAGAGTCCACTTGGGGGGAGGGGAGGAGGGCTGGGCCAAAATTGCGCAGGTGGACACTAGTGGAAGGGGACTGGACACCTGGGAAGATCCTGAGTCAGGGATAATCCATGGTCCCAGCAGCCAGCACAGACCCTCTCCTAGAGGTGATCACCCACCCTTTAGACAGTTCTAAAGGCCCTCGCCCAGGGCTCTCCCTAAGTGAAGAAGGCATAAAATCATAATAATGAAGATAAACAAAGTTGGGGTTCAGGTGAGACACCCCAAAAGAGAGATTCTGAAGGTCTAGCTCCAGGTAAGGGATGGACAGGAGTAAATGATGCCAGCGAGGGGAAAGGTGCCTTGTTGCCTAAATTATACTTTATGGGAAAATAGGAACTGCTGACATTCCTCTGCCTGCATGTCCACGGGGACCTCTGACTCAGTGTGTCCCAGACTAAGCTCACTGTCTACCCCCAGCCACCTGCATCTGACCATCGAGAAGCCCTGATGACTCCCCAGTGCCTTGAGGATGTCCACACTGCTCACCATGACTCACAAAGCACTTCTGGGTGTGCTCATCTTCCCAGCTTCATATTCCACGCCTCGCCTCACGCTTGCTCGCTGCTCTCTAGCCTCCCCTGGATGAGCCACGTCCTTCCTCACTGCTAGGCCTCTGCACGTCCTCTGCCTCTGTGTTCCCCCCCACACACACACACACACAGTATAGGTGTACCAGCTTCGATTCCTGTGCCTCCACACCTGGGCAAGATGACCCTTCTTATGCTCCCACAGCACCCCATATGCTCCCAACCTCGGCCCCTGCCACACTCTATTCTAAACACCTGTGGACCCGTCTCTCCCACCACCCTGTAGGCTCCCCGATGGAGAAACCATGTCATCCTGCACACAGCTGCATCTGCCTGACACAGTGGAAACCTATTACTGTACATATTTGAGGGATAAACAAAATTAACTCAGGGCAACTCAATTTAATAAACTGTTTTAGAACCATAATTTACAAAGCTCCAAGTGACAAAGGCATCATGTCAAGATGAAACAGTACTTTTCATCTCTGGGTAATAGTCTTCAGGGCTTTCATACATTATCTGGTCCTGGGGTCACCCTTGGCGAGCCTTGGCATTTTTCTTCCAGAATGTCTTCTAGATGTATCTCTTCCACTGCATTTGGATCATCACTGCCCATCCAGGCTCTTGCTGCATCATGCCCAGAATACTGTGAGACTCAAGGATGGTCACCCTCTGACCTGCTCAACAGATGCAGGTTCCTCGGGGGCCACTAGATTCCTCACATTCCACACTTAGGAAGAAACAATGGCTCACAATTTCTTCTGCTTGGCCTCAAGACCTTCCATAACCTGCCCCAGTTAGCTATCTAACTCCATAGGTAGGTCATCCTCACCGGCCCACACTGGACCCTGCTCAACCCTCCCTGAGTCTCTGTGCTCGAGCAATGCCAGTCAGAATACTGTGAGACTCAAGGATGGTCACCCTCTGACCTGCTCAACAGATGCAGGTTCCTCGAGGGCCACTAGATTCCTCACATTCCACACTTAGGAAGAAACAATGGCTCACAATTTCTTCTGCTTGGCCTCAAGACCTTCCATAACCTGCCCTAGTTAGCTATCTAACTCCATAGGTAGGTCATCCTCACCGGCCCACACTGGACCCTGCTCAACCCTCCCTGAGTCTCTGTGCAAGAGCAATGCCAGTACCATTCCCCTGTCTATTCCAATCCCATCCCATGTTCAAGACCAGAGTCTGTGGATACCATGCACTTCCCTGCCCTTTACAATCTGCTGGCGCACTTGGTTCCTTTCTACATGTCTTAGCACTTCTTTAAGTGTGGCAGGGTTTTAGTTTTGTATCAGAGCCTCGTAAGAGCCAGAACCACTTCTTACACTTATTTCTAGCTCCTAGTGCTATTTTCAAACCACCTCAGATTTCTCAAGGCTTTACTATAAACCAAGCACGATGCTAAGTGCTTAATATACATCATTTCATGTGATCTTAACCACCACCATTTAAAGTACAATGAGCCCCATTTAGCAGATGAGCAAACTCAAGCTCAGAGAGGTTAAGTGCATTGCCCAATGTCACTCAGTGGGCAATAGTAAAGGTGGATTCAGACCCAGGCAGCCTGACTTCGAGGCTTTGCTCTTAATCCCTGTACCCTTCAGCCTCCTTAAAATTCCATCTGTGAAGATAAGCACTTTGAGGTAGGAAGGTAGGGTCTGGGCTCCCTTTCCTCAACTCTAATCCCTGTACCCTTCAGCCTCCTTAAAATTCCATCTGTGAAGATAAGCACTTTGAGGTAGTAAGGTAGGGTCTGGGCTCCCTTTCCTCAACTCAAAAAAAAAAAAAGAAAGAAAGAAAATCCAATTTACCCATTTTATACATCAGGACTTTGTGTAAAATTATATTTGGAAAAATAATTCCAATACTTTTTTAAAAACTTTGGAAACCTCTGCCTTAGAATATACTTAAGGAATATAACTCAAAATACAAGTTTACCAGTATAGACTTATATTAAACACCAATGAAAAGTTCTTGCCAGTGAAGAGCATGAGGACCCTGCTGCAGGTGTGGAATGTGAGGTCCTATGAGGACATCAACCTTGTCTATCTCATTCACGCCTATGTTCCTAATAATGGACGGGATATACTCTAGTAGGCGCTCAATAAATACGAGTTGACTGACTGAATAAATGAGTGATAAGTGACCCACGGAAGATATGAAACTGCTTTTCATGAAGAGCTTTAAAAATAAATATTGTCATTTGTCTTAGGTGCTGGGGTTGAATTTCACCTGGAGGCAGGGAGAATCCTGTAATGACCTCTGGGTGTCCCTTCAAGCTGCCAGGCATTCTCAAGCCAAGCACCTGGTCCATGGCTCATAGCGCTTTGAAGAAAGAGCCAAGAAAATTTCTCTGGGGGATGATAGCAACACAGACCCAAAGCATGTTTACGTTTCCAGAGGTGGCAACCAGGACCAATTATTTACCCGGTCACACAGGAAATGCAGAAAGTGCCTGGAAAAGCTGGGCTGAGGAAGCCACACCTCCTTCATAATCAGAAACTACCCCCAGCCCCAAATCATTAGGCAGCAATGATTTTCTGTGGATCTGTAAGGGATCTGATTCTGATTGTATTTCTTTCTTTGCTTCTATCTGTTCTCTTGCTACAGAGGGAAGGGGGGGCAGAGAGGCCTGAGGAGAAGCACGGACGGGGAAGGGAGCACCTGTGGCCTGGCCATCCTGTAGGAGGCCCGACAGGACCGCAGGCTTCAAAGGGATGTGGTATGGCGGATTCTTAGAAAACAGCCGTCAGTACGCAGCAGCAGCTTCTCGCTTTAATGACTGAAAAGCCGAGAGAAAGGAAGGAAGGCAGGTAGGAAACGAAGGGCCGGATGCACACCATCAGACAAGTACCGATGAAGATAAAAACACATGAGCATGATCTGGTAAAGGCTGCTGGCTGGGCCCAAGCCTGACCACATCTGGCTGCCTTCAGAGTCCTCCACCCCCTCCCCCACCCCGGCTGAAGTCAGGAAACTGAGCTGTGTGAAAGTCCCCTGTCCTCAGTGACTCTGGGTCAGACTCCTCACTATGCATAACCACTGCGGACACTGGCTCCCACTGCAGTCCCCATTCATGAAGCCCCAGGATACCTCCCACCCCCACCCAGAGAGACTCTGACCCACCCCCCAAACTCTCCAGAGTGAGCCGGAGAGCAGAGACAGGCAGTCCACGGGCACAAGAGCTGAGCAGAGAGAGACACACCAAATCCTCTCTCCCAAGGAGGCTGTGCCTTTAAATTGTCTCTGTAATGGCTGGCTCAGAGGCAGAAATATTTGGCAGCCCTGAAATTAAAAGTGATAAATTTCCTCGCCAAGCTTTGATCGATAATAGAGGCCTCATCTGTTAATCAATAAGACAGTCTCTGCCTGTTTACTGTGCATATGTTGTTCACTGCTGCCTTCAGTACGATGTCAGGTTTGCATTCAAAGCAACTCAAGTGTGTATAAACCACATGGCCATTCCCAAAATGCATTATGGTGACATCATTCAGCCACCAATACATTTATAAAGCATCAATGGGTGGGGGTGTTGGGGGAGGGAAGGAGATCATGCCAGCTGCACAGGACGGGTGCATATGGACCTAGCAGCATTTACCCTCACATAATTTCCTGGGGCTCATACTGGAGTGGGGAGAGCTCCAGGAACACAGCTCAGAGATGGCCATGACTCACCGTATCCTTTCTACACATGGGGTTGTCCATTAAGTACATGCCAGGAGGTGGATTAGAGTAAGTAAACTAAAGAGACGAAATCCCTGCCCTCATGGAGCTTACATTCAAGAGGGGAAGGTGGATTTTTAAAAAGCAAGTAAATATAAAATAGGCAAGGTGGTGATAAGTGACATAAAGAGAAATAAATTAAGTGAAGAGGGATAGAGGGGCTGTTATTTTGTACAGGGTGGTCAGGGAAGACCTCCCCGATGCACTGACGTTTAAGTGGAGCACTGAGGAGACAACACCACGACCTGGGAACGCCCACTCCAGGCAAGGGGAGAATGGGAGGCGAGGTCAAGCAAGGCACAGACTGTGGGGAGAGAAACGAAATAGCAGGGGGAGAACGGGGGGAGATGTAGTGCACTTGACCCTCACGATCCTTCCCAGCAATCACAGATCCGCATGAACCAAGGAGACAACAGCAGGATCTAGAGTCAGGAGAGCTGGTCCCAGGCCTGACTCAACCACTCACTGCTGTGGCCATCCCACATGTCACCACACCTCGATGAACCTGTTTCCCAGTCTGTAAAATGGGGATGATCATGTCTGTCTGCCTCACAGAGGCTGCTGGGAGAACCGAAGGAGATGACAGACTTGAATGAACACAAAACTCCCTGTTAATCCCAAAGCATTCTATGGATAGAAGAGATGGCTGATGCTATTTGCACCTTGGGAGGC